AACTCAAGACCCTACCTGAAAAATAACTAAGCAAAAAGGGCTGGGGGTAACCCCAGTGCTATACACACACACACACATACATACATGCACACTGAATATATCTGTCTAAATGATGGTCTTTCTTTATACTGTACTCATTCATTTAATGTGAACACAACATGAAATCATAATAAAAAGCCATTGAAGTATGGACAATTTCCCTTTTCTACAGACCTGAAAGTCAAATGATATCTGCTGCTATACCATTCATTACATAATAACCCCGATCTAGTTATCACTGTGAAAAGCAAAAGTACCCTACAGACTAAGGGGTACTAAAAGTACCCTAAAGACTATGTATAGGCAAAGCATTTTTAAAGGAAAAAAATCAGTTTACAAAGAAACAAGTATCAAAAAGAGGAAATTCCCTTTCCTGTGGATTTTCTTTCACATTTTATATCTCTTTAGTTGCATCTCTTAAAGATGTAACAACGTTTAAATTAAACAATCTGATCATGAAAAACCCAGAGAAGAGCTTCAAAAACTAAAACCATAGCTGAACAATAAGTCATCAAGAACTGCCTTGGTTAATGAGGCTGTGAATCTTGGGTGGAATGACCAGTTGGACATTTATTGGCATATCAACTGGCTGGTTAACTTAGAAGAAAAACAGAGCTACTCAGTGAAATCATTTCACAAAAGAAAATCTTTGAAGTTTGTGGACTATCTTCCATATATCTCTACACAAGGCCTTAGACCATCCCACTTTCTATCACACAGATATCCATGCACTAAAAAAACAAAACAAAACAAAAAAACAGGGCTTTATTAGAAATTAACAAAATAAGAATTCACTTGAATTTAATGCCTCTTCTTTGGCAGTAGAAACAAGAAAGGGCCTATGGATACATTTAAAAATATTTGTTAATGGGCTGGTAGAGTGGCTCAAGTGGTAAATGGAGTGGCTCAAGTGGTAGAGTGCTTGCCTAGCAAGTGTGAGGCCCTCAGTTCAAATGACAAAAAAACAAAAACATTAGGTACAGATAAGCAAGTTGTTGCAGAACTTGCTTCCAGTGAATAATATAAAAAACTCACCTTCCTATACAGAGGACTAATACAAAAAGGTATCTTCAAAAATCACTCCTAATAGGCTGGACAAATGGCTAACACCTGTAATCCTAGCTACTCAGGAGTTAGAGATCTGGGCGCGGTGGCATGTGCCTTTCATTCCAGCTACAGGGGAGCATAAATAGTAAGATCCAGACTGGCCTAGCGAAAATGCCAGACCCCATCTCAAAAACAACCAAATCAAGGTTAGAGGTGTGGCTCAAGTGGTGAAGCACCTGTTTTGCAAGTGTGAAGCCCTGAGTTCAAACCTCAGTCCCACAAAAAAAAAAAAAAAAGGAAAAAAAATCAAAAAGAGTTGGGGCATGGCTCAAGAAGCAGAATGCCTGCCAAGCAAACACAAGGCCCTGAGTTCAAACCCCAGTACTGCCACCCCCCCAAAAAAAAAAATCACACATGACACAATGTTTAGTTACCTTTTGTTCTTTGCTTTCATTGTTGTAGTTTTAATGACATAATAAACCAGGTGAATATAAATATAAAGCAATTATGCTGTCATTTAAAAAAAAAGGTGATTAAAGCTTTAAACCCATTCTTTTTTTTTTTTTTCATTTTGTGCTTTAATTTTACTCAAGATCACTTAAATCCTAATACTTTCGTAAAAAATCAACTCAAAAATGAGTATTTTAGCCAGGTGTGGTGGTACAAGCTTCTAATCCCAGCATTTAGGACTGAGGCAAGGGAATTGTAATTCAAGGCCAACCTGGGCTATATTGCAAGATCCTGTCTCAAAAAAACAAGTATTAAAAATGGTATTTTGCAGCCATCCCTGCCTACAGTCTGCACCCTCGGGCCTACAGGTTGCCATCGGGTGGGCGAGCCTCACGTTTATAGTGTCTCCGGGAAAATTACCAAAATTCTCAGACTCAGCTCTTGTGTAATATTTTATTACCATACTTGAGGTAAACCCATTCTTAATTCAATGAAATTTAAAAAATCAATTTTCATTCAATTTTCTTAGCAAATTCTAAGCTTTAAGGAATGGATTCACCTACTGATACCTTAAGCCCTGACTTACTGAAAAAGTTCATAATTCATTCTTTAAATCTACTTTCTACAAATATATCCAAAATGGGTAATGACAGAATATACCACAGCGGTGAACATACGGATTCCCAAGAACCACAGATCCAAATTCACAAAGTACTGCATCAGCTAAAACACGACCTTCTGACTACAAAGTCTCTCAGCTCAGAATTTTAAGTTATTCTAGACACTAAAAACACTAAGGATCTTAAGAACATAGGATTGTGACTAAAACGACCATAACTCCAAGTTTACATACCTGCTGTCCTTCAACTTAGTTATTAATATTGCCCCCCATTCATCCTCTAAAAAGTTCTATTTGAGGAAAAACTCATCAGTGGTGATAAAAGTCAGAACAGTGCTTGCCTTGGGGAATGGACAGATGTTTACTGAATAGGAGGGACCCAAAGGGAGCTCTCTTGGAACACAAAAATGCTATATATCTTGATCTGTGTGTAGTTATCAAGGCATATACATATGTACTATTAAGATCTTACCATAAATTTCATCTCAGTTTTTAAAAATTTCTTAAGCACACTGAAATACATTATTAAATGTCTTTATTCAAATAAATTACACAAAATTTTCCTGAATATAGTCACCAATTTTTTTCCAAATGTATTTTTATAAGGATGCATATGGGGAGCATTTTTATAGACCGTTTCAAAACACTGATTTTTTTTTTATCGTTCATTTTAAAAAGTCACTAAACTTCAGAACCGAAAGCAACAGAAAGATGGTCATCTATTTATCCTAATTTAGCCAGTAAGGAAAATCAAATCTACGTAGACTAAGAAACCCCAAGATAAGGCAGCTAATCAATGGTAAAACTGTAGTAACTGTTTCCTGATCTCAGCCACTCTGTTTCCATCAGGTCGTTATTTTTCTGATACGACAAACAAGTCTTAACTCTGAATACTCGTGGCCTACAAGATTCAACATTCGCCACCGGTCAACAGCCCCCAAATGTAGGCATGAAGACATCCTCTCAAGGCAGTTGGCAAGGTAAGTCACAAGTGCGGGCAGTTTACTCCATATGGAATTAAAGTTTAAGCGTGACATCTTAAAAAGGTGGTTCAGAAGAAGACATACACAGATACTGGCAAAATCCATCACAAGTCCTCCCAAGTCTCTCTGATGGTTACTTGGTTCTCGCAAACAGATCCCTGCTAAGCAAGACTCACAAAAAATCACTAGGGGCCCTTTAACCCGAACTACTCCAAGTGCCCGGCCGGGAACAGCCCCGCCAAATAAAAGCCGGTTTGGAGACGGGGGCGCCCCCCAACTCCACGCGCACTCGATCTGAGGAGACCTGCGTGGCCGGCTTAATTTTAGACCCCATGAAAACAGCTGACACCTTGGGGAAAACTTAACACCACGTACATCCTTTCCGCGGGAACGTGTGTTCTGTTCTCAAAGGCGTTTCTGCTCCGCAAAGAACAGGCCTCGCTTCCCAGGACGCTCTGCTCGCCCCTCCACGGTCTCGCTCTTTTTTTTTTTTCAGCGTGCAAAGCCAGACTTCCAGAATAGAAATCGAAACGGTCACGGACCTGCCCAGTGGCTCGGGACCCCGATTGGGTCCGCGCGGAGGTCGGCAGCGCCCGGAAAGCCGCAGCGCCTGGGAGGCCGCTTCGCTTCACCAGGGCGGCCGAAGCCACCGGTTGCAGCGGCTGCCAGACGCTCTACAGCAGCGCAGCGGCCGCCTGGGCCCTCCGAAGTTGCGACCCGCCGCGCGGGCGGCGCGCCCGGCCCCGCTGCGGGTTCGCGCCCCGCCCAGAGCGAGCCCGGGGGGCGGGTCCGCGGGGGCTCGGCGGGCGGGAGCGCCGGGCGCGCGCGAGGAGGGGCGCGCAACGGGCCCGGCGCAACGGGCCCGGCGCACCGGGGAACTTGGGCGCCCGCAGCTGACGCCGCCGGCCACTTTCCTTTCACGCCCCCCACGGGTTGACGCGCGCCGCGGCAAGCCGCGGCGAGGTGCCCAGGCGCGCCCCTGTAGCCCGACTGGCCGGCGCGCGATACCGCGCGAGGCCGCGCGCGGGCGCCGCGCTCCCCCCCACCGCCCCGCCCCGCCCCAACGTGCAGCCGCCGCCGTCGCCGCCGCCGCCGCCCGTTGGCGCCTCAGCCCGCGCGCCCGCCAGCTCCCGGCGGTTTTCCGTTGGCAAAGTTACGCGGTTGCTACGAGGGGGGAGGGGACGCCGCGCGGTCTCTCGCCCCGGCGCCGTCACCGCCCCTTCAGGCCGCCGCGCGGGAAGGCCCAGCCGGCGGCCCCGCTCTTTTACCTGCCGGGAGTTTTCGCGCGCGCGCTCGCCCGGTCGGTCGCTCGCCTTTCCCCCTTGGCTCGCATTCGTTTTCTTTCTTTCCTTCTTTTCACTCGCCCGCGCGGGCGCTTTTTCCGCTCGCGCCGCCCGCGCTCGCCCGCTCGCGCCCTCCTTCCTGCTGGGCTCGGCGGAGCGGGGCGGCCGGCAGCTCTCCCCGCCCCCTCCACCCGCGCTCCGGCGGAGGCGGTGGCGGCGCTCCGCGCTCCGACTCATTCCAATATGGCACGGGCGCAGGGCGCATGCGCCCGCGCCCCCCCCCACCATCCTCCCCCAGCTCCTCGGTCCTGCTGGCAGCCTGCGCCCCTCGTGCCGCGCGCGTGGCGCACCCCCGGCCCGATCTCTCGGCGCCGCTCGTGCGTCTGCCAGCCGGGCTGTGGCCGCGCAGAAGATGAGGTGTCCGCGGGCTGAGGAACTAGAGATCCAGCGCCGCACCCGCATCTCGCAGAGGACGCCCCCCAAGGCGGTGGCTCAGGGCATGCTGCGGGGTCTCGGGTCCCCGACGGCGATGTGGCCTCCTAAGAATCTGTGCGGACTGAGAGACTCGCCCTCGGGGACCTAGCGTCCGTCCTGGACCCGCTCCGACTCAGAAGGGAAGAGCCTCACCTCGGCTTCGGGACGGAGCGATGGGATATCCAGTGGAGTTCCCGGGATCGGTTCTGGCGTCCGGGCCCGAACGAAGCGCACGGCTGTAGCCCGCACGTGACCGTCTCGGAAAGATGGCATTAGCAGAGAAGCGGGCCGAGTGGCGGCTGGATCTCAGATGGGTGCGTGCCGCTGCGTGAAGGGGCTGCGCCCGCCTGCCTAACCCGCGTCGGGGGTCAGGTGCGTCCTTTGAGACCATAGGAGCACCCAAGTGCCCCGTCTGTGAAGTCCCACTCGGCCTTTCTGCGCAAGCGATGTCTCCACGCTTCCTTCGGGGGCGCCTAGTAAATCTGAGTTTTCCTGCAGCAAGGGGGCACAGGGTGACCCCCGAATAGAATCCGGCGGGATAGCATCAGAAGCTCAAAGGTGGCTGCACGTCAGCCCCGCAGCCCGAGGGGCTCACGTGCGGCTATGTTTCCAGAGCTGGTCCGTTCCCCTGCAAGCGCAGGTGTCCGTGGTACGGACGGCTGCACACACACGTGTGCCGGGAAGCTCCCTCGGAAGGCAGTCCCAGCGCTAGTGAGACCCGAGAGTGCCAGACTAGACTCCAGGCACCTGGAAGGTGGTCTAGGTCAGGACACTGATGGCTCCTGACTTTCAGGGAGGAAGAGGTGCCTCCACTGCAAGAAGTTCTGGGGTACCCACACTGTGCCATCTTTCACTGATTTCAGTCTCCCTGGAAAGTACCCCATCTTGCAGGCAGACTTGCTCAAAGTCCTGCTGCGGACTGGATTTAAACCCAATTTTCTTGTAAGCACCACTGAAATGACACTATGATAACCAGAGACGGGAAGAAAAACATAAGAACAATAAAGTATCCAATTATTGCTACATAATTTGACTTTTCAGGCATAAAACCTTCCACATAGATACATATCTTATGCAGTTGCAACAACATATTTTCTTTGTTTGCTACTTTCACTAACATTTTTCTTTTAACATTTTTAAGGAGTGTAGGTATCCTTAATCATTCACTTTAGTCTCCTAATATGGCATATTTTGTTTCTTTGCAGTTTGCTAATACATCCTTGAGTTAAGCTCCCAGGTGGAAGACTATGAATGGTCAAGTGATTTTGACTTTCCCAAAGAGCTGCCTCATTTATTCTATCACCTCCAAGGAACAAAAGGAGTTTAAAGCACATTTCTAAGAATTGTCATCTTTTCTCCCCTACATTCATAATGTCTATTACTAGTTAAAGGTTATCTTACTTAGCATTCTTTAGATGACTAAACATTTTTAAATGAATGTTTTTCTGTGTATTTACTATCTGCATTCCCCTTCTGTGAATGATCTATTCATATCCATTCGTCTGTTGGGGACTTGAACCTCTTCTAACTTTGAACAGCATGTTTTATAGATACTACTCCTTTGTTAATGATGCAAATATTTTCCAGTCTGTTGTTCTTTTTTGTTTTATTCTACAGCTCAATCTGTCATTCTAGTCCTTTGTGTTTTTTCATTGGTTCAATGCTGACAAAGTGAGCTTTCTTCCAACTCATTTGATAGTCTATTTTCTGCTAGTTTGTATAATTTCATTTCATGTTTCATTATTTGATGACTATCTGTCCCAGTTTTATTTTGCTTTATTTATTTTGGAGTAAAATGTGGATTTAACTCACCTCCTCTGTCACCAATTGTTATTTCTTATGCAGCCACCATTTATTAAATAATTCTTCCTTTACTCTTGTTTAGCAGAACCTTTATGCTAGGCTTTTGATTTTGGTTGTTATAGTTCTGAATTCTCCATTTCCTTCCATAGACCTTGCTTTGAGTAAACATCACATGGATATAAATATTAATTCTTTGAAATAGGTTCTCACACTTGACAAGGCTTAATTCCCACTCATTGAGATCTTTTTTTTCAGCATATCACTTCCTATCCACACTGTTTTATGTGTTCATATGCATTCCAGGATAGTCATATAAGGGGTAAAAACACTGGTTTTGAGGGTAGACAATCCATCCAGATTCGACACTTAGCTGCTTTGGGATGCTACCTCTCTAAGACCTTAGAGTCTGGGTCTATAAAATGAGTATAAGAGCTCGATGCCTGGCAATAGTAAATGCCTCATAAATACCAGTTGTTGTTATATTTTTTATTCCAAAGAAGTACTGAGATTGACATGAGATTACATTAATCTAGGAATTAGTTTAAGCAGACAAAATACTCTGTAACATTTTGTTTTTTCAATTAGGATGTGCTATCTTTCTATTTATTCAAATATAAAACTGTCAAACACAAGCCAGGTCCCTTATTGACTCCAGCCTTTTCCCACTACTTACTCCGTGCCTTTCCACTGAGACCCAGCTGGCTACACTGGCCCTGCTGCCCTGAGTGTATGGGCCACTGCCATGTGTCTCCCCCCCTCCACCTCTCCCCCTTACACACACACACCTGCCCTGCTCTATCTCCATGTCTTGACTTCTTCAAATCTCCCCACCAGGCAGCCCTATTGTCTACACCATGTTATGAGGGGAAGAGTAATGAACTTGAAGGTAGATAACCTGGTGGTTACATTCAGATTTAGTCACTACTTCTCTATAAGACCATCCATGGCACTTTGTGGGAGCCAGCACCTCTCTCAGCTCAGTTTTCTCATCTCTACAGATCAAGCACAAAGCCACCTACCTTGCTAAGTCCTGGGAATCCAAGGACAAAATGTTCACTCTTTACAAACTGTAGCTTGTGTGGTAGTTCAAGTAGTAGAACACTTGCCTAGCAAATGTGAGGCCTTGAATTCAAACCCCAGAACCGCCAAAAATAAAAATACTTAACAATCTTTACAAACTGTAAAACATAACAGAATTATAGGAAATAACTACATGCCTGCGAAGCTGGGCGTATAGTTCAGCACTTGCCTGCAGGGTTTCATACCAGCACTGCAGAAGTAGAGAGTGGAGAGGAAAGGAGAAGAAAGAGAGGTGAGAAGAGAAGACAGGAGAGGAGAGGAGAGGAGAGAAAAAAGAAAAAGACCTGGTCCCAAAGTCAATTCCAGCAGGAAGTTTCCCAAGATGACTCCACTTCCTTTGTTACCTTCCTAAAGTATTTGACTTGCTTCCCCCACCACCATCCCCTCTCTTCTCACTTATCTTGGGACAGTCAAAAGCTACCCCCCCCCAGCCCCACTTTTCATCCATGAGTGCCACAAGCCCAGGGCTCTGTACCAATCATCCCCCTCTCTGCCTCCACAGCTCTTCCCAATTCAGGGGAGGAGAATAAATTAATAGGTACAATTTTCCCAACTTTATTGTATTGATGCACTTTTCTTAAATCTTTTTGCAATTTCAACATTTTGTCAGCGAATAAGAGTTCATGGGTGCCAAACACACAACTGAGGGCTTTCAGCAATGCATGGAAAATTAGAGGAGCAGCTCTTTGGGCTGAGGTTTCTCTCTGGGGTGATGAAAATGTTCTAAAACTAGATCGTGGTGACAGTTGCACAACTTCGTGACTATACCAAAAATCATGGAATTGTACACTTTAAAAAATGGTACACCCCTGTAGTTCCAGCTACTCAGGAGGCTAAGGCAGAAGGGACTGCTGGAGTTTGGGACCAGCCTGAGTTACATAGCAAGACCAGTAGAGCCACTTGCACACTCATGTTTAGTGCAGCACTATTTACAATAGCCAAGCTTTAGAGACAGCCCAGATGCCCCATGACTGATAAATCGATTTTTTTCTTTAAAAATGTGATATGTAGGAACCAGTGGAGTGGTAGAATGCCTGCCTAGCAAAGTGTGAAGCCCTGAGTTCAAACCACAGTCCCACAAAAATAAAGTCAAACCCCAGTACCACCAAAAAAAAAAAAAAGTAGTACATATACAGAATGAAGTTTTATTCAGCCATAAAGAAGAATGAAATTATGTGTTTGCAGGTAAATGGATGGAACTGAAGAACTTCATGTTAAGTGAAGCAAGCAAGGCTCAAAAAGTCCAAAGTTGCATGTTTCCCTCATATGTGGAAGCTAGACCTACAGATTAAATGTATATATAGATACATAACATGACTATATATGTGGAAATATATATATATATATGGTGAGAGAGAACCAAATTGTATTAGTAAGTCTGTCTGAGGGGACTACAGGAGGTGGGAGAGGTAAAGAAAATGTTAAAGAATGAAAAATATTGAAACAATCCATCTACATACAAATATAATATAATGCACTGTACTGTAAGCTGCTGATAGAGAATGCCTAAGTGACTGGTGTGTTTATTTGACCAAAGCATGATATATATAGCTTGAAGATATATTGTAAGCATATATGTAAATATCACAGTATATACCCCTGTACAATTATTATATGTTAATAAAAAATTTTAAGTAAAAATAGGACTGGGGAAGTGGTGGAGCACAGGACCTGAGTTCAACTCCCAATACTGCAAAATTAATTAAAGATCACAGCCATCAAAAAAGTAAAAAAGGACTGGAGGTGTGGCTCAAGAGGTAGAGTGCCTGCTTTGTAAACATAAAGTCTTGAGTTCAAACCTCAATACCACCAAAAAAAAAAAAAACAGAAAAATAGTCTAGGAGTGGTTACACATATCTATAATCCTTGCTACTTGGAGATGGAAGGTAGTTTGAGGCCAGCCCAGTCAAAATTTAACTAGAGACTTTATCTGAAAAACAAACTAAAAGCAAAAGGACTGGAGACATGACTGAAGTAGTAGAGCACTTGCATAGCAAGCAACAAGGCCCTGAGTTCAATCCTTACCACTATGGGAGGGGAAGGGGAGGCCAAACACAGTGGTTTGCACTTGTAATCCTAGCTACTTGGGAGGTGGAGATCAAAGGATCTTGGTTAGAGGCCAACTCAGACCCCATCTCAACCAATAGCTGGGTGCAGTAGCATGCATATCTGTCATCCCAGTATGTAGGAGGCATGAACAAGAGGATCATGGTCCAGGCAAGTCTGGGCAAAAATCAAGACCTCATCTGAAAAATAACTAAAGCAAAAATGACTGGGGGCATGGTTCAAGTGATAGAGTGCAAGCACAAGGCCCTGAGTTCAAACCTCAGCACTGCCAAAAAGAAGTAAAAATAAGTAAATAAAAAGTGAATTTGTTGTATGTGAATTATATTTCAATTAAATTGTATGAGAACTATATACAGTGATTGGTATAGACAGTACAAACGGGTAGACCTTGTGCAAATGTGGCCCATAGGATGCTTTGTTCGACCAGCACAGTGAGGTTTTTCATGACATTTTTTTCAAGTATAATTTGCATATAATAAAATGCACCCATTTCATCTATGAACAGTTCAGAGGCATACCCCTTATAACCACCACCACAATCAAAATGCAGAATGTTGCTGGAGTGGTGGTGTGTGCCTGTAGTCCCAGCTTCTCAGGAGTGTGAGGCAGGAAGATGACTGAACCCAGGAGCAACCTGAGCAATGTTGTGAGACTCCATCTCAAAAACAAAACAGTGTTTTATTACCCCAGAAAGCCCCTTGAGACCTGTCCAGTGACACCCCACCCACAGGCAGTGACTCATCTGATTTTCATCTCCATAGATTAGCTTTGCCTGTTTTGAAAAAAATTCTTCATAG